GGACTAATGTTAGAATATCCAGCAGTGGCATCATGCCTACAGCTGATAAAATATTCCAACAAGTTACAAAAAAGAGCAGCAGTGAATGACATGAATTACAATGGAACCTTGGGTTACGAACGCCCCACCATGCGAATTTTTCAGGATACGAATCGTCGTTTGGTTGATTTTTTGCTTCAGGATACGAAAGAAATTTCAGGATGCAAACTTCCCCCTCAAGGGAGGGTTCCTTAAATAAATAAATAAATAAAATGTATATTTCTTTGCAAAGGTTACAGTATGTGTTTACATATCATAATATGATTGGAGCAAAGAAAGCCACTATCATGCCGAGGCATTTCGGGCAGAAATGCCTACTTAACCCTTTTAGGGTCCATGCCGTAGATCTACGGCTTTACGTTGAGGGTCCAAACCGCAGATCTACGCCATGAGCTCAGCTCACTCTGATAAGCTGTGAGCAGTAAATTTGGGCCTAGATATGAGAGAATACATCTATGTGGTATGTGTGCATGACATAAAACAAATCCTGCAGCACACAGTGCATTATGAGAGAAAAAAAACTGAGACTGTAATTTTCGATTAAAACAGCGACTTTGCAGTGTCTTTTCGTATGTTTTTTATAGTTGTATTTTCAATTTCTTGGTCTCATTTGATAAAATGGAAGATATACTACAGAAATAGAGATGATTTTGATTGGGTTTATTACTAGAAATGGCTTGAAACTGAGCTCAAAGTAACAGAAATGTTAAATTTTTGCCGATGTTCAAGAGTGAACAAATGACCTCACAAGTCTAATACATGACAGCTGGTGGGTCTAATATACATTCACAAATGTGGTGATATTATTTATACAATTATTACATGACAGTAAATCTTCTATTTTTTGGTTTGAATAAAAATTCATTATGTGAATAAAAAATCAAAATGGAATTCATTTGTAAAGCCTGAAAATGTAACTAATGAACAGAGGAAATGTTAGTTTAGTGCCAGGAATGCCTGCATTGTTTATTCTGGACCCTGTTTTGAAATTGGAATACAATGGACCCTCGACCAACGATATTAATCCGTTCCTGAGAGCTCATCGTTAATCGAAATTATCGTTAGTCGAGTTAATTTTCCCCATAAGAAATAATGGAAATCAAATTAATCCGTGCAAGACACCCGAAAGTATTGAAAAAAAAAATTTTACTACATGAAATATTAATTTTAATACACACAAACTGAAGAAGACATGTACAATTACTTGACACTTACCTTTATTGAAGATATGGTGATGATTGATGGGATGGGAGGAGGGGAGACTGTGGATGGTGTTAGTGTTTAGAAGGGGAATCCCCTTCCATTAGGACTTCAGGTGTCAAGTCCTTTTCCGGGGTTACTTCCCTTCTTCTTTTAATGCCACTAGGACCAGCTTGAGAGTCACTGGACCTCTGTCGCACAACATATCTGTCCATAGAGGCCTGTACCTCCCGTTCCTTTATGACATTCCTAAAGTGTTTCACAACATTGTCAGTGTCACAATTAAACACTTGTTCAGGTTTCAGTTCTTCACTGTCTATGTACTCCTTGAATTCCTGCACATATTTTTCAGCCGCTTTGTGGTCCGAACTGGCAGCCTCGCCATGCCTTATCACACTATGAATGCCACTACGCTTCTTAAATCTCTCAAACCAACCTTTGCTGGCCTTAAATTCACTCACATCACTAGTTGCTGGCATTTTTTTAATTAAATCGTCATGCAACTTCCTAGCCTTTTCACATATGATCGCTTGAGAGATGCTGTCTCCTGCTATCTGTTTCTCGTTTATCCACACCAATAAAAGTCTCTCAACATCTTCTATCACTTGCGATCTCAGTTTCAAAAACATAGTTGCACCTTTGGCAAGAACAGCTTCCTTGATTGCCGTTTTCTTGCCCACAATAGTAGCGATGGTAGATTGGGGTTTATTATACAACCTGACCAGCTCAGAGATACGCACTCCACTTTCATATTTATCAATGATCTCTTTCTTCATCTCCATAGTAATTCTCACCCTTTTTGCTGTAGGGTTGGCACTAGAAGCTTTCTTGGGGCCCATGGTGACTTATTTTGCAGGTGCAATCACTAAAAAGGCTGTGATAATATGAAATGTTCCAGTTGTATGTTTGGAAGTGACCGCGGTGGCTGGCTGGCTTGTAAACACTGGCACCAAAGGGACAAGTGAGGCGCGCTCAGGCCAAAGTGGACGCGTATGGTACAGAACGAAAAGTGCTGGTCGGGTTTTTAAGCGCTAGTTGAGGCAAAATTTTTGCGTTTAAATGAATCGCTAGTCAGATTTATCGTTAATCGATGCCATCGCTGGTTGAGGGTCCACTGTATTTCTTCAGTCATAGAGTCGTCAAGAAGTGGAATAGCCTAGCAAGTGAAGTAGTGGAGGCAGGAACAATACATAGTTTTAAGAAGAGGTATGATAAAGCTCAGGAAGCAGAGAGAGATAGGACCTAGTAGCAATCAGTGAAGAGGCGGGGCCAGGAGCTGAGTCTCGACCCCTGCAACCACAATTAGGTGAGTACACACACACACACACACCAGAGGCAGGGCCAGGAGCTGTGACTCAACCCCTGCAACCACATATAGGGGAGTACACACACACACACCAACCCACCCCTCCATAGAGCTGTACACTGTGAAGTTTTGTTGTTTTGAACCAAGTGAGAGAGTGCTTGTGGTTGGGCATTTATATGTTAAAGTGGGTAAAAATATTGTGGAAGGAGTAGTAGGTAAATTTGGGGTGCCACGGGTAAATGAAAATGGGGAGCCTTTAATTGAACTGTGTGTAGAAAGGGGTTTGGTAATAAGTAATACATATTTTATGAAAAAGAGGATAAATAAGTATACAAGATATGATATAGCACATAATGAAAGTAGTTTGTTAGATTATATATTGGTGGATAAAAGGTTGATGGGTAGGCTTCAGGATGTGCATGTTTATAGGGGGCCAACAGATGTATCAGATCATTATTTAATTGCAGCTACAGAGGTAGATGGGGCAAAAGGAAAATGGCAACAGCAAGTAAGAAAGAGGTAAAAGTTTATAAACTAAGGGATTAGGAAGTTAGGGTGAGATATAAGCAACTATTGCCAGAAAGGTGGGCTAGTGTAAGTATAGGTAGTGGGGAAGTTGAAGAGGGGTTGGGATAGTTTTAAAAATGCAATGTTAGAATGCAGAGCAGAAGTTTGTGGCTATAGGAGGGTGAGTGCAAGAGGAAAGAGGAGTGATTGGTGGAATTATAAGGCAAAGGGTGCAAGAAAAGTGAAAAAGGTATCTTATCAGAGGTTTTTACAAAGCAGAAACGATGTAAGAAGGATGGAGTATATGGAGAGTAAAAGAAAGGTGAAGAGAGTGGTGAGGGCATTCAAAATGAAAGCAAATGATAAGAGTGGGAGAGGCACTGTCAACAATTTTGCTGAGAATAAGAAAATTTTTTGAAGATAAACAGGTTAAGAAAGCCTAGGGAACGAATGGATTTGTCAGTTAAAAACTGAGGTGAGAAGTTAGTAGATGGGGAGTTGGAGGTATTGGGAAGATGGCAGGAATATTTTTAGGAACTTTTACATGTCAGCAGATGGGTTTATGAAGGATGAGGTTAACCATAAAATTGATGAAGGAGAGAAGGTGAGTGGTGCTCTAAGGTATTTGTGGAGACAAAAAATTTTATCGATGGAGGCAAAGAAGGGAATGCACCAGAGTATAGTGGTACCAACACTCATATGGGTGTGGAGCAAGGGTTGTAAATGCTGCAGCAAGGAAGAGGCTGAGGCAGTGGAGACGTCATGTCTAAGGGCAGTGTGTGGTGTAAATATTATGCAGAGAATTCATAGTGTGGAAATTAGGAGAAGGTGTGGAGTTACTAAAAGTACAGTGGACCCCCGGTTAACGATATTTTTTCACTTCAGAAATATGTTCAGGTGCCAGTACTGACCGAATTTGTTCCCATAAGGAATATTGTGAAGTAGATTAGTCCATTTCAGACCCCCAAACATACACGTACAAACGCATTTACATAAATACACTTACATAATTGGTCGCATTCGGAGGTGATCATTGTGCGGGGGTCCACTGTATTAGTCAGAGGGCTGAAGAGCAGTTGTTGAGGTAGAATGACTTGGAGAGCATATAAATCTTTAGGGGAAGGCGGGGTAGGGGTTGTCCTAGGAAAAGTTGGAGGGAGAGGATAAAGGAGGCTTTGTGGGCAAGGGGCTTGGACTTCCAGCAAGCGTGCATGAGCATGTTATGTAGGAGTGAATGGTGACAAATGCTTTTTGAGACCTGATGAGCTTTTGAAGTGAAGTGATTCAGGGAAACCAGTTAGCCAGACTTGAGTCTTGGAGGTGGGAAGTACAATGGCTGTTTAGAGTGACATCTAAACTATCATATCTGAGCGCCTCTGCAAAGACAGTGATTATGTATGAATGGTGGTGAAAAGTATTGAATGATGAAAGGGTTTTCTTTCTTTTTGGGTTTTTCTTTCTTTTTGAGTCGCCTTGCCTCAGTGGGAAACCAAGGCAGGGTGAACCACAGTGCTGAGTCACTGAAACAAAAACTAGCTGCCCTGGGATCCCTGGCTACTCTGGTGAGTCTTTTGCCTACCTCCTTAAGTAACTTAGATGGACTCTTTTTCCCATTGCCAAGGGTCTCTGAGCCTTTGAGAACAAACAGATAATGAAGGGCAAGTTCACCATATTTTCTAGACTTTTGGGACTCCCTGAAGCTGGCAGCTGCCCCTCCTTCCTTCCTGGTATATTGAAGATAGGTATCAGCCAATGTGGACACACGTGAAGTCTCACACCACCTGCTTGCCATCTGTCCAGGCTTGAATGGTGATACCATCTGGATGCTTTTGGTTACCATCAGACCTGCCTAGTTGTGGTGGCTCCCTTATTCCTGAGCATCCTTCTATTGTGGGGCTTCTCTTGATGATGTTATTAACCTCTTCATGCCTTGCGATCTTTCCCTCAGATCTACAGCAAACAAGACCATGGTATCCAAATCAGTCTGCCGATTCACTGCTGCAAATACACCTGTGTTCAACGAGAATAGGAGCAACAAGGCTGAGATGTGTGCCAAAGGAGTTGGGAACAGCCAACAGGAAGTCCCCAGCATGATGAGCTCTCATTGCTAGGAGATGGGCTCTATCCTTCCCTGACAGACACTTTGAAGCATTGTTCAGGCCAGATTTTCCACTATTGGGCCATCCCAGTGTGACTATTTGTAGCTGTTGGAGAGAGCAGGTCTGGTTTCAGAGACTGTTAGATTATCCCAGAGCATGGCTCCAACAAATTTTTGGTCATGAATTCCAACATTATCCCTAAGGTGTTAAGGAAGAATTGTTGCTACAAGTCTACTGGATTCAACACATAAGGACAGGAGAACAGATCTGTGATACCTTGCAGACACCAATACTTCCTGGTCTGACTGGAAGTGCAACTTGGTCCCGCTTCCCATCTTCTAGAGTAAGGGTCGAGTACTTTTGTAAAAATATGCCTCAGAATACTGTTATATTCATTCAGTATAGGGTTATCATATGAAGGTGCACATCTTAGGAAATATGTTAACCTGGGCAGATTCCTGCACTTTGTGAGAAGGTACAAGGCATCATAGGTGTCAAGATTGCCTATTCGTTGTTCCATCCTCCTCAACTCATCCAGTTTCTTACTGAGAAATGAGTCATTGGTATCTGTTCCCAGAGGTGCTCCAAGCAATATGGTACTTATGGGGGCAATGACTGATGCCTGGTAGCCTTGATCTCGCTTGTTGACTGAGATGATTTCACATTTGGAAATCACTGGTCAGCCTGACAGTGATTTCCTTAACCATTATGCTGTCTAAATAATAACAACAACAACATTATTTAGAGTTGGTTTCAAATACTACAAAGAAATTTTTCAGCCTTTGTATGTTTGTAACATTTTCAGTTGTACATGCAGAGCTGAAAGCTGTGTGAAGTATCAAAGCCATTTCTTTGTGGTTGGTCATTTTGCCATTGCCATTAGTTAAATGTCTTAGTTTGCTTTCACCTTTTTTTTTTTTTTAACCCCTGACATCTCTGAAGAATTATTTAAGGGTTAGCTTCAGTATTCTTAAAATTCTCATATACCATTTTTTTTTTAGCTCATGCCTTCTCTCTGTAACTTTTAGTTAACATGTTCTGCAGTGTTATTAGTCACTTTTTAATTTCTTGTATGATACTACTGTAGTTTTGTTATCCTGGCTGCTTTAGAATATCATTGTCTTGTTTTATCTTTCTTGGTATGTTATCCCTTTTGATATTTAGTATTTTGTTTTTAAACTTTCATTTCCTCTACACTGTTTGTATCTTACAGCTTGATGAACTTTTCTGGTAATATATCTTGATGCATCTTTGCTGCTCTGTATTGGAGACTGTCATATTTTTAGTTTAATCTTGATGTTCATTCATTTTGAAGTTGATAATGTTATGGTCATAGTTTTCAAAGCTTTTCTTTGCCTTGTATTAAATCTGTAAGGTTATCACCATGATTTTATTTGGTACAGTCTATTTAGAAACTCTTGTCAGTCACACAGGTGTGTAGCTTCTTGATCACCTGATACAGCCCAATGTTTCAGTTAAGATCAGGGTTATTTAGCCACCCACTATTATTATTATTACTTAGGTTTTAGTAATTATTTAATTACATCACAAGAGGGTGTCATTTCCATGAGATTGTTTTTAGGAGAATGATGGACTACCATGAGTAAAACAAAAAATTTGTTCTCATTGCAGCAAATTTTGATATGTATGGAGTCATGAACCTCATTTTTTATGTTGCATGTATTGTAGTTCATTTCTAATGTATAGGATCACACTGCCACTTTTTTTTTTTTTTTTGTAAAGTGCAAGATTAAGGGAAAATATATGTATCTAGTGATTTCTGATGTCAAGTGATTATATCAACTCATGACTTGCTGAAAATATATTGTGGTATATACTGTCCTCATTTTTTTTTTTTTAATTTCTGGTCATACTGGCTACTGGACTTGATGTGACTACCTGCCTCGTCTTTTTACATTCCCTTCACTGTATTTTCTTCCTCTGCCTTTCTCTTCCATTCTCACTTTGTGTCACATTTTTCCCAACCTTGCTATTCCTAGTATTCAGATTCATGATGACTTCAAAAAAGCTTTCATTCCTGTTAAGGTTGTCCCAAAGAGCTGTATATTTGTCCTTTTCACATATGTACTCTGTCTTGGTTATGTGTAAGAGTCTAAATCATGTCTCAGTAGCAGTACTTGATACTATCTCTTGCTGTCTTGAATTTCATTATCAGGAATAAAAGTCAGTGCTGTGGCTGGAAAAATTCATTATTAACAATTTGGAAAGGAAGCCTGAAGATAATGAAGGTTTATTATGCTTTGGAATTACCATGGCTTGTCTCAAATATATACAGTACTGTAAGAATTATTGCAAATTTTAGATAATACAGATAATGAGCCAACATAAGCTTAGCTGTATTCTTGTAGCCACAAACCATGTACAGTATAGTAGAAGAATTTCTTGTTGGAAGGATTTTACTAAACCAAGGTGCAAAATTATCATACTGAATGTATGTACATGCATATATATGAGAAGGGATATCAAGTTTCTGCTGCTGATACTTTAGTAAAATTTTATATTTTTGGACATTACAAAAAATAGACAATATTGTTATAAAGTGTCAACATCTCTTGGAGCTGGGCTATGATGCAACTTATATTTGAAATGTATTGGAATGTTACTAGAGAGGTAATGCTCTAACATACATAAAGGTTAAATACTTCTACTTTTGCACCAATAATAACTCCTTTGAGGAACCAATGAGACTCATGCCTAGATGCTGTTTCCTAATAAAAGACCAATCATTCAACCACTGATGTGCATTTTATATACACGGGTACATGTACTTACATTGATGAGATGAATTTAAAAAATGTTGGCTCAGGTCGAAATAGTGTACAGGTATACCATAAGTATAGTATAACACAAGGAAATGCCATTTGTATTATTTGTACAAATGCTGTACTGTAAAGGTATAATAAGATAGTGAAGGAAACCAAATTCTTACCTTATTCTTTGTTATTGCTGCATTAATTAACACAGGTGTGTTGCTCTTTGTATCTTGCTTAAGACAATGCCTATGTCAGTTTTGGTGTTCTGAACCATGTACATTATTTTTATAAAACTAATGTAACTAATAATATGTTTAAGGAAAGTCTGTAATTCTCAGCATTCTTGTTATAAAATATGGACTCGATGAGAGTCTAATTGTCATTGAGATGAGTTATTTTTTATGTTTATTCTACTAACCTAATGAAATGGCTGAGCTTTACTTGTGTAACACAGTACCATCATTGTTCTTTGTACTTCACAAAATCAGTAGAATGCTATACAGTATTTCATGCATCTCTTTAGGGACAAAAGAGGGTAGGGAAGGGGGAGAGGGTTTGATCAGTTATTTTAGTGTTAGACATTTACCAATAATTTTATCAAGTACATTTCTGTAATAGTACTTCAGGACAAAAGCTACTTGTGAAATTTAAAATCTCACAAATTTGATGTGAACATGCATCCATTTTGTTTTATATACTCTTAATTTAATTTGTTATTGTGAGATTAATGTGCAATATGTAGATAGTGTTAAAGAATTGTGAAATCCCATCGATAGGTGGGTTTACATTTAAAATGAAGGAAGTAACTGAACTCGGTACAGTACTGATATTGGTGCATTCTCACCTTTTTTGAGTACCTTAAAAATCTAGTTAATATGTTTAATGTATTCTATACTGAATTGTATTTCAAAAATTATATACTATATATGCAATATATATTTTTTTCATTTTCTGATAAAGCATATACAGTAGTTGTGCAATGAGTAGCTTTTACTTAAACTCGGTTCTCAAACTATGTTGATAAACTATTCCCCATTTTTTCTCTCTTCTCTGTATCCTTTGTAGGTCAACATACACAGTAGTATTTGAATTATGTTCATTTCGTGTTTTGGTTTTCTGCGAACTATTATGTATTATTTTTGTAAATAAAATTGTCAAACATTTTCTAGAAATAAAGAAAAGCTGGTGCTGATATATTTCTTGTTTTAACCTCATGATTTTCAGTAAGTGTATCTTTTCATGGAAAAGCCTTGGCAGTGATGAAGGGCTTTTAATCCAAGAAATCGGTCCTCTCCATCACACTGCCTCCCACTCTTTAGGGGGGTCATCCTCTTTATGAGGGGTGCCTTGTTGTGGTAAAGAGGCTATTGGTCTGAGGAATTGGACCTTCTGGTCTTCTTCCTCTGACCGAACCCAGTTATCCCCCTCCCCTCTTTTTTTCAGGTCCTCCCATCAGATATTCTAGTTCCTAGGTAGGGGAAGGGTATATGGTCCATCCCATTCCGTTGAAGTCCTTGGTGGTGGTGTAGCTTGCCATGGAATCTAAATCAACTATGGATGTCCTGATCCCTCTCTGGTCTCCCTGGGGGAGGCTTCAGGTGACGGGTGTATGTCTGGAGGCATGCTTTGTGGCGGGTATCCGATCACCCTCTCTTTTGTCCACCGAGGTGGCTCGGTAGATGTGAGGTTGCTATCCTGGAATGCTGGTTTACTGGCATGAAGGGTAGGGTTCCATGCCACATCTGTACTACTGATAGCACTGAGGCCCTCTTGGGCACAGAGGGGGATTTACGGCCCTTTTATTCCTCCTAGAAGCTATCCTTCCACGTTCCCCCATTTTTTCTTTTTTTTTTCTAAAAAACAAAAAGAAAAGTGATATAACCATGGAGTCCCAGATCTATGACTCTGCTCCTCCCAGGCCCCTTTCTGCTGCTGCACCCTGTTATGACCCTACCTTTTCACTGGACCATTCTAATGCCCCTGTGCCTTCTGCTGGTAGCATTTCATCAACTCCTGGTACTGAAGTTTCGCCTGACTCCTTTGAAACGTCCCACCTCCGTACATCTTTGACCATGCTTCTGGCTTTTCCGTCTATGGTGCAACAATTTTTGGATCACCTGCCCATTTCAGGTCCACCTCCAGTCCCACACCGAAACGACCTCGACCATTAACTGATGACCCTATGTATGTCGAGACGCCATACGTAACATGAGGCACTGCATGATGTCACATGCTAGCCACTGAGCCTAGCTACAGGGAGCCTAAATATATAATGTATATAGATGGTACGAACTACAATGTGCTACACAAACATACATACTAATTCAGTAGTAATACTGACATGTACTTTAAATACCTCTCACTCTTCCTAGAAAAGACTAGCATGATACCCACTCTCCTTACAAACGTTTCTAAGTACAGGTCTCCCTCAACATTCACGAGGGTTAGGGGATCAAGAACCTCGCGAATGCTTGGTGCCCCAATGTATTGTAGGGAAATATAATACAATACTGCTTCCTTAACCTGCTGAACCATGAACAGTTATAAAATACACGAAAACATCGTAAAATATTGTACTACGTACATACATGTTATAGTTTAATAACATGTATGTTATTAAATACCACTGCGGTGCACTGCCTCATATTTTTGTACAATTTCTTTCAATTCTATTGTGTTTCTCAATTTCTTTACCAAAGGACTGGCACTAGCAAGTTTCTTTGGGCCCATGGTTAATTATGTAGCAGTCACACTCAGACAACAAGCACAAAACACAATGAATAATTGTGAAATGTTTGGATGAGTGCGGAGGCTAATGTTCACTCCTGCATAAACAAAGCCACACTGACTCACGATGCTTCAACCACTGCCTCCACCACTGTTTCAACCCTCGTATTTTTGTACAATTTCCTTCTTCAATTCTATCATTGTTATTATTATTAGTAGTCATGAATGGGTTGACATTATTTATACTGTAGTTTAATAAATAATGAACAAACAAAACACTCACCACTTGTAAGGCCAACAAACTCTGATAACTTGTGTTGATGATGACAATGACGATGATGATAGTCAGCCATGCAGTTACTGATTACAGTTGAATGGAAGTGATTATATGGAGTGTAACTGCATGATGTGACTAGTGTGTGGATACTAAGTCTTCACTGCCAGCATCACTGCCGACGAGTTGACGTTCAGGTGAGGCGGCAGGGTTAGTGGCAGGCTTCCTTGTGAAGAACATTGTGATGGGCAACTGAGACCGTTTCCTCTTCATATCTACAGAGTTTGGTAGGGAATTATGCTCCTATCAATGTTGTTCATCACCTTCAAAGCCCTCAACATCGATGGGTCTATGTTGTACATAAATTGCTTGAGCTGTGCTGTCATTCTCATCACTTGCCCTAGTTTTTCAAGGGTGAGGGCTAGAGGTTGATTGGCCTCAGCAACACTCTCCTCTTCATCCTCATTCTCTGCCTGCACAATCTCCAACAACTCTTCATCATTTAGGCTGGAGAATGATAGAGTGAGCGGCGGGTGGGCTGGCTGCCAGTTGCGGGGGTCGGAGGGAGGGTAGTAGGGACGTACAGGTGGCAGGAAGCTCAAATATGATTTGGAGGCTGGGATTTCGTGAATGTGTGAAGCCCGCGGAAGTTGAAAACGCGAATGTTGAGGGAGACCTGTACACACTGGACAAAGTTTTTCACTCTGCAACTGACATCTCTTACTGACTGTCTTTCAGATCATAGTATCAGCAAGGCACTCCTTGCCATGTTGGTCAAAATATTTCATTTCATGCTCTTAAGAGTGGTGTATGCATTGTTACTGTACAGAATGCTAGCCAGGCTCACAATCTTTCCTTTCTTACCTCTAGTGACAATATTCCTGTCAATTCAAAAACACATTTCTCTCGATTCTTGCATTGTTACCAAAGTTCTGCTTCACACTATTGTTCAGTGTGATATCCAGACATGGGATGATATTCTGGAGCAATTTGAGCTCCAAGATCTCCCAGTTCTCAAAGTGGAAACTTATGTACTACACACAGCTTCACATTGTATATCTCAAACCTCAAGCAGGCATTCTCATAAATGCGTGCCTTAGTGGTCTTCTGCTTGTGCTCGTGCAATAAGTTTGAAACGTGCTGCATGAGGCTGATATCATTACAACAGGACCACAGAGTGTCCCCTTGATTTTAAACAGGCAAGAGTGATCGCCCAACGTGTCAGTCATGAAGCTAAACACACTTGCTGGCAGGAAGATGTTTCTACCATTACTTCAGCATCTTCTATGAGTGCGGTTTGGAAAAAAGTGTGGAAATTGAGTGGCAAGTACTCTCCAGACCCGACTCCCTTTCTTCAGGATGCTGGTGTCAGTGTTGCAAACCCTCTTGAAGTTGCCACGGAGATCGAAAATCTTGTCCATATCTCTAAAAGGCTCCATCTATGCCCCTCGTTTCTTTCCTTCAAGCCTGCCAGGGAGTTATTGCCCTTAGACTTTTCTTTTGGCAGCAAAGAGCCTTATAATGTGACTTATACACTTTTAGAACTAGAGTCCACACTTTCCACCTGCCAATCACCAGCAGTTGGACCTGATGGGATTCATATTAGTATGTTTTGGCATTGGCATCCGTCAACCCTTGCAATTCTCTTATGTCTTTTCAATCTTATTTGGTTGCAAGGAGTTCTTCCCCAGCTGTGGAAATCTGCCATTGTTCTGCCTTTTCGTAAACCAGGTACTTCGGGACATGATGCCTTGCACTATCATCTCATTGCTCTTACCAGTGCAGTTTTGCAAGGTGATGGAATGTCTGATAAATAGACGTTTAATGAGATATTTAGAGAGAGACAATAACCTCTCCCCCTCGTCAATATGGCTTTTGTAAGGGCTGCACTACTATTGACCCCCTTACTCCTCTTAGATGCGTATGTTCGTAGTGCCTTTCCTAGTAACCACTCCATTATAGAAGTCTTTTTTGATCTTGAAAAGGCAGATGACACTACTTGGAGGTATAACATCTTGGCCCAAGCTCACTCTGTACGCCTTCGAGGCAATCTGCCATTTTTCCTTATAAACTTTTTAATCTGTGAGACATTTCCGTGTTTGGGTTAATAATTTGTTTCCCCGGACTTTGTCCAAGCTGAAGGTATCCCTGGATAGAAATAAATGATATAAAATACCGACACAATGGAAATATAAACACATATGCAGTATAATGTGATCCTTTATTGACAATGTTTCGCCCACACAGTGGGCTTTTTAAAGTCACAAACAGATCTACCTGGGGTGGAAAGTTTCTTGTTCCTGATGTTGATGTTGCGAATGCACACCATACCCAGGAACCCCAGACCTACCAGAATGTATGGCCTGCCAAAAACTCACAAGCCTGGTATCCCACTGAGGCCCATATCCTCGGGAATAGGCAGTGCTCCCCACCAAGTCTCCGGAATTCTCGCAAAACACCTCTCTAAACTCTTGGGCACTATCAGTCCAGCACATCTCAAACACTCGGGTGATCTTCTCAATCACATTCGTAACATCAACATCAGGAACAAGAAACTTTCCAGCCTTGACGTAACTTCCCTATTCACCAAAGTACATACCTACTACACAAGCCATCGATCTCTTACGCAGGAAAATTGACGATTCACTTGATCTTCCTATTCCAGCCAGTGATTTCATCGACCTTGCTGAACTATGTGTTGGCTTTACGTGTTTCTCTTTCGAAAATCACCTCTTTCAGCAGACTTTTGGACTACCCATGGGTCCGCCACTCAGTGCAGTCCTGGCGAACCTATGCATGGAACATCTAGAAGCCTAGCGTTTCTCCACCATTATTCTTTCGTCTGTCACCTGGCTCCGTTATGTTGACGACATTCTCCTTATAACTCCTAGATGCTTCAACGTTCAAGCTCTCCAAGACAAGCTCAACCAGGTCGAGCCTTCAGGCCAGTTCACACTTGAAGAAGTCGACAACACTCTTCCTTTCCTTGATGTTCTCCTCTGCAAAGCTGACCATGAACTTCGTTTTAAAGTCTATCAAAAACCCACCAACCAAAACGATCTTCTCCACTTCTACTCTCACCACGACACCAAAACTAAACGTGGTGTAATTATAGGCTTCTTCCTGCGCGCACTCAGAATCTGCAGCAATGAGTTTCTCTAGGAAGAATGCACTATAATTGAACAAGTATT